ATTCGGAACAGCTGCGGGACCTGTCGGAGGTGGTCCCGGAGGTTGTCCACCCTGATGATCATCAGGGTTGCCACCCGGTCCATCACCAGGCGGATTCATATCTTCATCATCTGGATCAAAATACTGCTGTTCCCCCGAGACTGGATTTGGCTCATAAGCCATATCATCATCCATCGGTGGTCCATAGTCTGGAGGTTGATCCCTTGGATCCTCTAGAGCTAGAGCTACTTCATCAGGAGTCACAACGCGCTTCACGGCGCCTGTCGTCTCTGCTTCGAAAACGATCATGCTCCAATGATCTACCAAAAACTGTTCATGATGAGGAGACAGTTGTGACACAAACATAAAGAAAACCTGATGGTATTTTCCTGGCTTCCACATAGTCAACACTGCATCATCTTCAGAGTTGAAGAGAGGATGCACTCTACCAAAGGTACCACGATAAACCTCACATCTCTCAAAATACATCTGTGGCAAGGTTCTTCGTCTAATCTCCTTCAGGCCTGGAATCAATGACACAATTCGAGAATCAGAGGATGTTGTCACATCAAACTCTGATCTCTGAGGTAGTGCATCGACCTGCCTCAAAGTTCTGATCAGTTCAGTAGTAGTGAACCTTTGTGGTAGTATATGTCGAAGTGGAACCGGAGTTTCCGTCGTCTCTTCCGTTCTTACGGAATTCAACAAAATTGACTGATGAGCTTCTCTTTCTAACAAAAGAGCTGTTCCACACAAACTTCCAGAGTCATAATTCTCCAGAAGATCTTCAATAAGGAAATTCTGACGCTTGTCGGAAGTCTCACTATAAGGAAGAAAACGATTCATCTCAACCAGAAATGAAAATGGAAACTTCTTCCAGTCAGGATCCTTGAAATACAGGTTGCTTCTCGTGGCTTGCACTGTTTTAGCTTGAAATGAACAGTCACCAATACCTTTCCATCCTTGGCAGGATGCATAGGAATGGAAGACTGTCACGTAACTAATTCCTTTAGGACAATAGCAGAAACAATTCATATTCACATCAAATGTAAAGACCGAATTCTTCAAAGACGAAATGAACTTCTGCAAAAACAGACAAAACTTGTTTCCCTTGGGAACAGTCACAAACACATGTTTCTTCCTTCTCAACTGCCACTCAATCACATTGCAACATAGCAACCAAATAGAAGCTCTGTTCTGTTTGGGAGAAGGGTTGTTGATTACTATACAGTGGGGCTGCAAACTCTCAAGTTGCTGCCAAATACCATCTTGACCCTTCAGAGTGGAAAAGTTGTATCCTGCCTTGAAATCCATAGGCGATGCAACTCTAACTCCATTCTTTGAAAGGAACCAAGATAATCCACTGTTTCCATGAAGTAACTCAACAACATCAGGATGATCATCATTACAAAAGAAAAAGGACTGTTCTCCAAATTCGGCATCAACATACAGTTCGTGATCTTCGCGTAAGTTCTCCGGATTCTCATCGTCTAATGCCGGTATGGAAACATCATGCCACTCATCGTGATCTCGTCTAACCTTCGACTGATTCACACGTACCACTGCCTTACCAGTGTTAGCTTGGACCGTAGCTCCTTCCTTGTCCAAGTACTGTGGCGCGAACCCAACGTCCTTTATCCTTGAACTTTGATGAATCCTGAGTCCAAATAAAAACCTTCTCACCTTGACAATATGGACCGTCACTTGGCATAGTTCTTCTTGCAAGATCTGCTCGAAGGTCCTGAGCTTGTCGTGCTTCTTGATGAGCTCTCAAAGCTACACGTTGTAGTTCCAGATTTGTACGATCTTGTGCGGCTGCACTAGCTGACAATTGCTCAGGGCTTGCGGTCTCAAGGTCAAAAAGATCTGGTGGACGTCTTCCAGTTGCTATCTCTATTGGTGAATATCCACTGATAGTCAACTGACAATTTCTTGCCCACACTACCTTCTTGACCACTTCTCTGACCGTAACACCACGAAAACGTGGGTCATCCAGATCTACCTTCATAACATGCCACATACTTTTGAACAAACGTACAGCTGTCTCTGCTCGGTTCGGCCAAGGAGTTCTTGGTCCACAAGGACATTGTTTTATACCATGAAACCTGTAGTATTCAACAAAAGCATCTGTGAAAAAGGCTTCGTCTCCTACGATGGCCTTCGGAACACAATTGTTCTCATCAGACCACTGCCTCAATGCTTGGATGGTGGTTTGATCTATGAGGTCTTTCTGTGCCGTAGCCCAGAGAAGATTTGTGGCACCATCAAGAACAAGTAGAATGATATACTTGTTCTTGCGAAGTTCAACCTCACAATGATCAGCAAAAACAACATCACCAAAACATGAAGCTCTAATACCGGAGACTCTGGCTCGTGGCGGAGGCGCCACTGAAGTGTTACAAACACGGCAGTTCCTGACAACTGATTCATACTTCTCTAAAACAGAGTCAGGAAGCTTCAACATAGAAACACGTCTACGAAACTGAGTAGGACTCATATGGTAGTGCTTCACATGAAGCTTATAAAGCTCTACCTTGTCCTCCAGTCTCTGCAACATCTTCCTATATGCCGGTGTCATTGCAACAACTTCACTACCAGGTAATGGGGTTGAAATCCGCCTAGGCTCAAGAGCGCCATCACCTGGTTCAAGTGGTTCATGTTTATCACTTGATGGTCCTTTTGATGCTTCAGGAATTTCTACAAGTTCACCTTCTGGCCTCTCAGGTGGTTCTGAAGGAGTATAACCCTCAGGATCATCACCTTTTAAATCCTGTGGAGGCTCAGATGGTTTCGACTTGTGTCCCTTCCAAAATGGATCAAAACCCTTGGAAGTATACCGAAACTTCGGCGGCACGGGCTTTTCCGCGGCACTGGATGGTGCACCTTCCTTCTCTGATGAGAAGCCTGGTTCCCTGTCCTTTGCAGTGGGAACCTTCTCTGAGGAGGAGCGCACCACTGCATCGGGATCACCAATGCCACGGTGCTCAATGCCAGCCTTCCTGATCTTTAGATCTGGAATTTTTGCATCTGGCTTGAACTTAAAAATTGTTCTACCACGCCATTCATAGCCAATTTGTAGGTCCTTCCATTTTGCCTTGCGCCAATCATCTATCTTCTTGATCTCTTCTCCTCCTTCTTTCTTCTTGATGATTGTCAGTCGCAAGTCTTCCAGCAAGTCAGTGTCTACAGGACAGGACTTAGTTGCTGGGAAAAGAATCTTCCTGTAATCCTTGTGGTGACGTGTCAGTTCTCTCTTGTGAAGATCTACTTCCCAGTAGTCAACCACAGGATATGCATGCTCAGCTTCATCTTCATCACTATTGTGATCAACCGAAATATGGCCATATTCATAGTGAGTGAAGTGAGAGTAAAAGCTCTTCTCGCGCCGAGCCTGCTGACGCACGTCAGACAGATACCATGCAATATCTTGGAAGTCCAAAACAAGATGAGTACTGGCTGCAACCTTCAACTCCAAAAATTTTATACCAAGAGGCACCGATGTCAGGTAAGCATGTTGAGGTGTCAGCCTGAGTTCAAAGCCTAAGTTCCTCATCTGTGGCAAGCTCATAAGCAAAGGGACTTCTCCTTCTTCAACTATGTCAAACTCTGTATGGTGGATCGTCCATGCACGATCATACATGTAAATCACCAGTTTCTGAGAGCAAGAAGCCTTCTGAGAATTGGCAAAGTAAAACTTGCTCTTGGTAGACTCAAAAGAGTACCATAGTCCACAGTCTGGGTGTAATCGACTGCACGCCTTGATCCCATAGCTCTAGTGCATCCAATGTCCAGGATTGCAATAGTTGGCGGGAAGCGATTCTCAGTCAAAAATGAAATAGCCTGCATCTCCTTCACTTCTTCCTCAGCGCTCATAAGCGCAAAGCCATCAGGAGCATCTGTGAGCATCTCCTTTGACAAAGAGTACCTCACAGGGGCACTCATGCCATCGAAGATCGTCTCACCATTGTTGACCTTACAGTCAGCTTCATCTTGACATGAGGTCATCATGCCTGACAGCAAGTCCACCTCACTGTCATGGACTTCAGCTTCTGTTGTCACACAATGTGCAAAGAAACCTTGGTTGCTTCCTGATGCTTGTGAAGTTCTTGAAGGCGCAGATAAAGAACGTGGCTGTTGTTGGTTTGCATAGTTTGCATCTTGTTTGCCATCTCCTTTATCTTTTCCTTTTCCTTTCTTGCCTTTTCTCTTGCCTTTTCCTTTTCCTTTGTGGGAAAACCATGCTTCTTCAAGCTGTTGCCAAAAGTCATTGGCATCTTCATATTCTCCTTGAAGATAGTCATTCATATCTTCGGCAAGAATAGCATCATATGCTACTTGGTTTGACTCCCAAGTGTCCTCATAAGGATTCTCTTCAAA